CCAAAATTTAAAGAATAGCTATAATATTAAGAAAACAAAAATAAGCCTTTGAATACTAACTTTTAAATTTAAATATTAGAATTTGTGTTCATGTCTGATTGAATAGTTTGCTTATATAGAATAGTGGCTTGTAGCTTGGCTTAGCTCAAGGTTAATTGGCTTACAAATGGCTTGACTCTGACTTTGAAGCTAAAAGATCAGCTCAACTTGGTTAATACAAGTCTTAAGCCGAGCTAAGCTGAGCCATTTGTATCACTATTGCAAACCACGATAATTTGGATGATCAAAAAGATTAACAGAATTGAATAATAAATTAATGATTGCTAAAAGCTCCTTTTTTGTCATATTTTCTTCATTCAGAGCTGCTGCTTTTTTCTGAATAGTAATAGATATGGACCAGAGTAATGAATTTGCTTATTGTCTTTAAAGGTCTCATTAATAAATATGATTCATCTTTCACATACCAAATTGCTAAAATTTTTTAACTGTTCACTAAGTAGATGTTCCTTTTCAAGGCTTTAATATAATTGACTAAATTATCTAGCTTTCAACAGTGAATATATACAGAGATTATATCTGGTCAGTTATTACCCAAGTTACCTGTGGTTAACCGGTTACAACTGTTTTCATAATTGAAACATCTGATAAAAATTTGCCGAATAGTTTTTTGGCCGATCCGGTTAAGTTATTGATTTCAGCATGATTGATACATAACGATAAATTACAATTTATGTTACGTTATATACATATAAATTACATTGTAATTTGTTTTCGCACAGACTAAACACACTATAGCACTAAACATATTGGGCAAGTGTTTAAACAAAATTTAGTAATATTTAACGTGCTGACATTTTATAATATTAAAATTTTATTATAGAAAAGTATCACATATAATGTATATGTCTTTTATATATATGTAAGGATATAGGGATATATCAGTATATAGGGTGGAGATTTGCGTGTAAATTTCTGATACGTATGTAATTTTTGTTATGTAAATAACATTGTCTAAAACTAGCACACAAAGTCAGCGAAATTTTTGTAATACAGGTTAATAATCATATGTACGTATGTACGTATGTATATATGTACAGTATAATTTGTAATTTTGTTGAATTTATTATGCCAAAATAATAACTTAACTGGAATGCCGAAAAATCATTCAGCAGATTTTTTTATTAGGTGTTTCAGAAATTATGAAAACCGGGTAATTAATAGAGCTACCCAGGTAGATTCACCAACAAATATAGGATTTGATTGGCTACAATAATTCATGTAACCAATCACATGACAACTTACTCGAGTATGATTTTATACTCGGGTATATCTATTGATTACCCGAGTAACCTGTGGGTTTACTCGCTGGTTAACCGAGTAATGTTTTTTTGGCCAAGTACAAATACTACTCAGAATTATTGTGATTCTAATATATAATTTAAACGTGACCAACAACTTGACGACTCATTATCTGTATGCCCAATCATCTTAAATAATATGTGATATAGCTAATTTTTATTTTAAAAATGCGTAAGTATATATATTTTTTAAAATACAAATATATTTTTTATTGACCTTTATGAACTTGGTACAATTACGTGTCGCTATTCTTCAATATTTCTGTGAAGATATAGGTGGAATTAAGGCTTTTAAAGACTTATTAACTTCTTCAAGAATAGCATCAAGACCTTGATGCTGATTGTGATATCCTGATTGTAAAATAACTAAATATAATTCCATCTGTTGTTTAATTTCAGGATTTAATAGTATCATTTGTCTTTCATAGGTTATTTCAAGTAAATGATACATGAGATGCCTACGACTTAACCAAATTGGAAAAAATATATATCAAGCAGCACTTGTCAATAATGGTCGATTATTTCTAACACCTGTGCAAAAATTAATGATTGCTTGCAAATAGGTAAATATTTATATAATCATTAATATTGTAGTAAATTTTTTAGATATATTTAATATTATAAAAATCTCAAAATCTTACTTGCTCAAATTTTAATTTATATATATGATCATTTTGTTTTTTGGCCCAATCTAGATAGTCTTTGAGGAATTTTCCATCGTAGTTATGTATAGCTATAGTAATTCACATATAATGGCATATCAGTAAATATTGCAAATAAAGTCTCACGATTTGTGATGATTAGCACATTTTTTAAAAAAACTGAGTTGGTTTTTAGTTCTATATCTTTGAAGAATAGCAAATTATTTTATGTCAATTATCCTTAAAAAAAGTAAGCTAAAATTTTAGATCAAACAGTATTATTTATATTAATTTAATTATGAAAAATATTAATACCAGTTTAATTCTACAAATACTCTAAGTATGTTCATTTCTTTGTGCAAGGGCCCAGGAATCAATATAAGCTACAGAAAGTTTTTTTAAATCTTTTGAACTAAAGTATAGAGAACACTATCACAAGTAACAGATAACTATTTTCACGCTTTATTTATTTTCATAATATTTTGTATATTTTCTAAAACTTTTCTAACATTAACGATTGAATTAGGGTTATATTCTAATAGATCTGGCATATACATTTCAGGAACAATAATACTGTGTTCAGAATTTGAATATTGTATAA